ACAACATACTTAATCTCTTTTCTTAATTACCTTTATATTTCATGAGCCTACTAATGTTTATTTTCACTTTATCATCAATATCGTGTCCATTCCTGACTGAACGAATATTTCCATTTTGACCTTCAAGAAATTGGTACTGTATTTATTCTCAAGCAAGGTCACTGTTTTGTTGAGGGAATATGGAAGCAAATTTCAGTAAATGATTTAAAAGTAAAGCAAAAGTGGCTTTATAATTGTTGTCAACCATGTTAACCAGTTTTGAATGAATTACAATTTTGAGAGAGTTCAGATGATTGCATAAGGAAGGCCCAAATGATGTTCTAGTTTTCGTTAGGGAACATGATGGACTTAAAGAATCATTGCTTATGCCATTTTGCTACATGAAGTTTATCTCACATGGCCACAAGGTTCAAACACAAATTCATTTCATTTGATGAGATATTTTATGTTGATTGGTTGAGGTCAGTACATGTTTCACAACTTGTTATTATTCTACTCACACAAAAAACTTTTCTTGAAATGAAAAACAGTGTTTTTTCACAAAACAAGACAACTGCTTTTTCACTTTGGTGGTTTCAGAGAAACGCATTTTGAATAAAAAATGGAAGTTTTCGAAAAATGTTTCAGGTCTTAAGTATTTACATACAACTTGTTTGAAAAATTGTTGTGGACTGTGAATAGATGTGAAGTACTGGAATGGTTTAAACCTGTGACTAAAAATGTTATTTAAATATTATAACATTAATGATAAAAAATTTGAAATAGAATTAATAATAAAATGAAATATATTTGTGAATAGAGGTGTGAAGAATAGAATAATAAAATGGAACAGGTGTTTATAGTAATAAATATAGAACAAGAAACAGATTGTTGTCATTATTCATCTAATATTAAATATTTTTAAACCACTCAATTCAAATATGCTGAAACATTGCAAACTAGATCAGATTGTAAAATGTAAAAATTACTATACACTTGTTCTGTTTTGCTATTGTCAACTTTTAGCTATTGTCCAACAGCATTATTTTCAGAATTGCATTTTCAAAGATGAATTCACATATCCCAACTAGACTAGAGTAAAGCTAATAGCATTTTTTGAACTATTTGTATATAAAATTGATTTGAAATATCAACTTCAATATTGTACTGTATGTATATAGATTGTTTTTTTGGTTTGATGAAATTGTCAACTGATGAAAACATTTAATAATAAGAATTAACAAATGAAAATTTTCAGTCTAAAATTTGAGGCATTTTCGGGTGTAATTTCTTTGAGGAAATTATGTTTATTTCTGAGCTAAAATTATTAAACTTTACATTTCTATGAAACCTTCTAGGTCAAATGACATGCGATTGCAATTCTCAGGTACCAGTATTTGATAAACAAATTCAGACATCACAGTTGTAAGTGAGTAAACTGACAAATCAAAGTATATAGAATAATGGGGCCCATGTTGACTGTTAACTGGTAGAATCTGATAGCAACAGATTTTTCAACTAGAAACTGTGTCCACTTTTATTATCTAAAACATGTGCTGATGGTGAAAGAAAACATTGATATTATCCATTGGCCGAAGCCATTTGCGAACATCAAGCGTATTTGATATTATTCACCTGAATATTCATCGTCATTCATTATCAACGCAGACTTTCGCTTTGACAGACATCTGTCTCTATTCCAATCTCTGAAAGCTATGTGGACAGATGTCAGCTGGTGTAGAAACAGAAATAATAAGCCCTGTTAAATGGGGACATTCTGCATCTCTGCAGGTGCAGGGGTTTTAAACCTATTTAGATACCTCAGATCTGCAAAACCCAGATATATTTGGAAAGATGAATATTTTTGTAGTTCAGTCATACCATCATTTTCTCATGACACCATTTATGTCATGTTTACATTTCCATCAAAGTTTTATTTTGGCGAAATTGATCTAGCATAGGCGGTTATAACTGCGTGCCCTCTTAAATGAGGACTTTCCACAGCTCTGCAGGTGCAGTGGTTTTAAACCTATTTAGAAAAGAACGATTAGGAAAGATTTAAAATTGCATGCGCAGCGAAAAGTTCAAAAGTCACAGAGTCATGTGATACTAACAAAACAAAAGTTACGGTGATAATTTACAATCATCTTAAACTTAAAGGTAATCTAATATTATGTTAGAAAAGACGTATCTTTGGAGGTGTGGAAAATCTTCATTTAACAGGGTCTTTTTCCTCTGACTCTATTCCACCTGACAACTGTCAAAATATCCATCATAGGCTGGAATAGAAACAGATGTTTCGGACTGTAAAATGAAGAAAAAAATGAAAAAAGATGGAATTGTGTTAATTGCATATAACATCTGATATCTCTATAACAGATATTTTGTGTTGGTCTGGTTAAATACTTTTACTATTTTTATATGCCCACACCTAAGTATGGGCGCATTTTGTGGTTGCCCCTGTCGGTCCGTCTGTTCACATTTACCTCGTGCCCAACTCTACAGGTTACAATTCTCCATGAATTCTTTTGATTGTTTGTATGTGTGTCAATATCATTATGAAGATGTGCACTATTGAATTTGGTGATGATCTGATGATTTTCTTTAGAGATATCGCATAAAACTCTGATATCGCGTTTTTCACTGTTCTGGCTTGTGCTCACTCTACAGACTACAATATAGAGTTTGGTTTACAGTTCACTTTTAGCGCTTTCTCAAGCTGCTGGTGGGCGTATTCGCTTGCGAGACTTGCCGCAAGCCTATGTTTCAATAAAAGCTTAACCAATATAATTTTACAAGGATTTTTCTTTTAAACTTCCTAATTTAAGTTTGGCTACCCATATTAACTCTTAATTGATGTTTGGACAAGGTATTTAGATAGTGAATTTGGTTGTTTGACAACAATTTATTTTATTAGCAAACAAATTAACCCTTGCTCCCCCCTCCCATCTGTTGTTTGTGTGCCAAGGGCATCATTCTTTCAATGAAATAATGAGATATTTAACTTGTTAATATAACAGTTTGTTGTTGGTATATTGTACATGTTACTGATGATAGCACCAGATCTTTTCTCTTAGTCTAAAAATAGCTTTAATATAAACAGTGTTGCCAGATTTTTCTTCTCTTTCATTAAACTGTAATGTTTAAAAATCAGATTATACTCATCAAACATGCACATTGATATGTTTTGACAATTTGTCTTACACATTTGAGAGAATTTAATGACGCAGTATTCAGAAAGAATTAAACGCTGTTGTTTACAAATTAGATGATTTGAGTGAAAGAAAATGAAGATGTTATTTAGCAATCCAGTAGGTCTTAGTAGTTAAATTGCACAGATGTATATACAAAATATACAGCAGACCTTTCTATATCAGTATTTTACTGAACAATAATCATTTGTCTATATGATCCTCTCCAGTGGTTGAAACTAATCCAATATAGTAACGGATTTACACAATATTCTTCTTTGTAATAATTTGTGCATCATTTCTTAGTGAAGTTTAGTATGATACTTAATATGAATGAAATGAAATAAAATGAATTGAGTTTTAAATCCTACTTTTCTGCACCAGATTGGCAGGAGCAATGTAATTGGTATTCTTTTCAATCATTCACAGACTTTAAAGTGACCATTTTTTTTGACCAATCATACCTTAGTCTCAGAAGTTTTTAGCTGAGCCAATCCGTCAAAATTTGAGACTTCAAATCCATATGTTTGAAAGTTAAAAACACTTTCATATAGAAAAGACATCTATAGAAATAGGAAAAGAAATTCCTAGTTTAAAGATATTTTTTAAGGAATTATGCAATTTTAGTAAATTAATAGTACTGTTCACATATATTGAAAACTCAAATCAACCCTCCAAAATGGCACACTTCTCACTTTAAAATACCCTAGTTTGATAGTTTTAAAAAAAAGGTGAAGATGCTAGGTCTCCAAAATAGCTGCGTTGGCTCAGTAGCAAGTTAGATGCTTGTTTCAATCCTGGCATTGGTCGAGGTAATACCGGTACCTTCGGATTTTTCAACCCGGTTTCCCCGTCAGTGATGCAGGTAAGAGGGGCTGACATGGAAAAAGAGTCTAGTCATTCGGATGGGACTGTAATTTAGGGCATGTGTGCTACAGGCTGTGCATGTTACAGATCCATCGACAGTTGGAAATGGAAAAAGAGCACGCTAATGCCGCTGTCCTGCCAAAATTTCCCTGATTTCACCCTGCATGGTGTTGCCCGTCTTCATTAGCCCACATGGTGCAGAAAAGTAGGGCGTAAAACTCCATTCATTTCATTTCATTTCTGAAATAGTTGTTTTGTTTGACTTTAACAAGTAAAATGGTGTACTCATTTTATTGACAAACTGGTCTCCCCTTCTATTTTCACAGCATAAGTGTCAATCCCATTAGTATGCTTTTTGTTTTGTAATCACTACCTTATTAATTTGTTGTTATTTTGAAGTTTAAAAGATAAACTGTTGAATTTTGTCTTGTATATTGATTAAAGTCATAGTTCGGATAATTCCTACATAAATAAGGGTGTTGCCATGAAATGATCATATCATGGTGCATTATTGACTACACAGGTTTTACATCTCCATAGTGTGAAATAAGACTGAGAATAGAGAAAGAGGTAAACTGTTGGTATAATCAGAGTAATACTAGTTAGAAAAGATATGAGTAATTGTTGTGAAAATACAGAATTATGTGTTATAGAATAGAACTAGTAAGAAATGATGTCAGTGATTGTTGTGAGTATATGTGATGGTATGTTTGAGTGTTTAACTAGTAAGAAAAGATGTGAGTAAGTGTTGTCAGTATATTTGATGGTATGTATGAGAGTAGAACTATTAAGAAAAGATGTCAGTGATTGTTGTGAGTATATTTGATGGTATGTTTGAGAGTAGAACTATTAAGAAAAGATGTCAGTGATTGTTTTGAGTATATGTGATGGTGTGTTTGAGTGTAGAACTAGTAAGAAAAGATGTGAGTAAGTGTTGTGATGGTATGTTTGAGTGTAGAACTATTAAGAAAAGATGTGAGTAAGTGTTGTGAGTATATGTGATGGTATGTTTGAGTGTAGAACTAGTAAGAAAAGATGTGAGTAAGTGTTGTGAGTATATGTGATGGTATGTTTGAGTGTAGAACTAGTAAGAAAAGATGTGAGTAAGTGTTGTGAGTATATGTGATGGTATGTTTGAGTGTAGAACTATTAAGAAAAGATGTCAGTGATTGTTGTGAGTATATGTGATGGTATGTTTGAGTGTTGAACTAGTAAGAAAAGATGTGAGTAATTGTTATGAGCATATGTGATGGTATGTATGAGAGTAGAACTATTAAGAAAAGATGTCAGTGATTGTTGTGAGTATATGTGATGGTGTGTTTGAGTGTAGAACTAGTAAGAAAAGATGTGAGTAATTGTTATGAGCATATTTGATGGTGTGTTTGAGTGTAGAACTATCAAGAAAAGATGTCAGTGATTGTTGTGAGTATAATTGATGGTATGTTTGAGAGTAGAACTATTAAGAAAAGATGTCAGTGATTGTTGTGAGTATATGTGATGGTGTGTTTGAGTGTAGAACTAGTAAGAAAAGATGTGAGTAAGTGTTGTGAGTATATTTGATGGTATGTTTGAGAGTAGAACTATTAAGAAAGGATGTCAGTGATTGTTGTGAGTATATGTGATGGTGTGTTTGAGTGTAGAACTAGTAAAAAAAGATGTGAGTGATTGTTGTGAGTATATTTGATGGTATGTTTGAGAGTAGAACTAGTAAGAAAAGATGTGAGTGATTGTTGTGAGTATATATGATGGTATGTTTGAGTGTAGAACTATTAAGAAAAGATGTCAGTGATTGTTGTGAGTATATGTGATGGTGTGTTTGAGTGTAGAACTAGTAAGAAAAGATGTGAGTGATTGTTGTGAGCATATTTGATGGTATGTTTGAGAGTAGAACTATTAAGAAAAGATGTCAGTGATTGTTGTGAGTATATGTGATGGTATGTTTGAGAGTAGAACTATTAAGAAAAGATGTCAGTGATTGTTGTGAGCATATTTGATGGTATGTTTGAGTGTTGAACTAGTAAGAAAAGATGTCAGTAATTGTTGTGAGTATATGTGATGGTATGTTTGAGTGTAGAACTAGTAAGAAAAGATGTCAGTGATTGTTGGAGTGTATTTAATCAATACTTGAATAATCTCAACTGTCTTTCTTTTACCAGTACCTAGCTATTACCATAACATTTATATCATTCTTCGTCTTCTCTCTAGATCACCTCTAGATATACAGTATTCCTGGGTGACACAACCATTTTATATCCTCACTTGCCGTGTTACATATTCATAGTCCTCCCAGATCATTGAATGCAGCAGTTATTTTTAGCCTTATCTCAAGCGATAGACTGAATTAAATTTTAGAAGCAAAGTAGTTAGGAGTCAAGAATAGCAGACTTATGATTGAAGATAAAATACATTAAAACGTATAAGAAGTATTCAAGGGCAATACAACCAAATGAGACTTTACATGAATACATTTAACTCTACTTAAAGAGATTGTGTCTCCATCTTTTTCTAGAATGAAATTGTTCTATTTCTCAGTAATGTTGTAACAGATACGCTGACTAAATTTTTCTGAGAGATTATCTTGGTACTTCAGTCCATTGGTTAATGGAGGCCCTCACATTATAGCAATCACCAGTCGTGTATGGTTGCCAATAAGAATAGAGGTCATAAGTGTTGAATGCAACAGTCCTGCTACTGAGAAGTTACACTGTTACACTGGTAATCGCTATGGTGAAGGCACCTTTACTTACTTCATGAAAAAAATAATTTCATTCAAGATTAAAAAAAAAATATAAGAATATAAGAAAATTTAAAAACAATTCTCAAGATTTCAACATATGGTTTGATGTTAATGTAACCTTAAAAAAGAAACTCAACTTACCTTCACTAAACTTAAACTTCAGAAAATTAAACAATGCTTAAATAGAAACAACAATAAGGAGTCTTTTTTTTTTGTTTTGTTTATTGTGAAATTTTGGGGTGTACATATATACTGTCTGTTGTGAAATTTGTCAATTCAATATAAATTTGATTGTGAAATATGTATGTATTTTGTTGAAATTTTAATGTTCAGTATTTATTCAAGGTTTTTTTTTGTAACTCAATGAATTGGAGAAGTTACTTAGTATGTCGATCAGATAATACATGGTTGGTTTGTAAGATTATTCATGCAAATATATTAAGGTTTACCTTAGTGAGACAGTTGTGTCTGTGTCTTTAAACTACATCTATGTGAAGAATGATGAGCCGAATTTACACTGTTTAGTGACTGAGGATAAGGTTATGATGAAAGAAGAGTTCTAGGTTTAGTTTACAGTGGTTGCAGCCAGTTGATGTCTTAAGATGTTTTGGTGGTATGTGTTGAGCTAATTCAGGTTTCAGGTAAACAGATTGGGATTTCCCACTCCAGTGTCTGCAAAAATGCAAAATTTCCTAACAAGGTCTAAGAGGTTATGGTAGTCTAAGTACATTTGCACTGATGCAGATTTCAAAATCTATCCCCATCACAATATTACATTATTTCAGAATGTGCACTGAAGTGATGATTGTCTAAGCATTCATAAGAATTAATAACTGATTGTAATAATATTTAGGCTACTAAGAAATGCATTCGGTAATTTGAACTGATAAATGGTGAAGCAGATGTCAGCTTTTCATTTTCAAGTTTAGGTGAAATTTGAAGAAGCTATACCTGATTTTAGTACTGGCTACAATACTGTACAACACAAATAATAAATCATTATGATTTATTGTTTATTTAATTGTTTGTTTATTATGCTATTTTTTCATCCTTCGTCATTTTAAATAAATGGCATTATCACACACTATCTGGTTTTGATTTATCATGGTAGAGGGTGAGGAAAGGGAGAACACAAATAAGGATTTCCATAAAAGTACTGATATTTTTGATGAATAAGTTAGTAAGATAACTTCAATGACTTTGTTAATATTTGAAAAGAGAAATGATGAAATTGTTATTGTTGATAAGATGTCATTATTAATAAGTTATACAGTGATCATGATGTATTGATGCTTCAAATGAAATGGATGCTTTGAGAAATGCTTTGACTAGAATTTGTGTTGATCTCTTAATCTATAATGGAAGTCAATTGAAACGCTATATATTGCTCAATGCTTTGGACTTTTTCAGTGAAAACTGTGCCATTATCTTGGGCAATTGCTAAGCAGTTTAGGGCTTTGGGACTGTTAGCTATTGAAATTTGTGAAATGCAATGAGAATGTATTTAAGATAACGTATTGCTTCAGCTTTTTGCAATTTCCATCACGTGACCATACAAGTCAAATCAACACCTCTGCACTAACATATCATACAGTAGTTGTTTTTCTTATCCCAGCAGGCTTTTCAAATCTTTTATCTTTTATTTGACAATATTTTAAATATTTAACATTTTCTGATTAACCCTAGTGTAATGAGTATTTTAATTTTTAACCTTATCTATTGGGCGTTACCAACAATCATTAAGGGGATCTTCAATAAATAAAAGTCACATGAAAATCATCTTTCATTAAACTTGTAGTGGTGCTTGTAGAGATTTATTTACATTGGTGCTTGGCCTAAGTTTTAAATAAAGGAATATATTTGTAAGTATATAACTTTGTTGCGTCAATTTTATGCATTTTTCTCAGAATGAAAGAATTTGTAGAAGACATGGTAGTTTGACTGATCTAGTTTCTGCTGTAATTTATTCTTTACCTGTATCTAAGATCATTCTATTTGACATTTTACTTCTTCGGGGGATGGCAAATCATACTTCTTCTTACAAATAGAAATATTAAAAACCATTTGGTACTCAGAGTTTCATGCTATGCTGCAACTGACCTATTTCAGCCATTGTTCCTACTGAAGTATGAGAAATATTTATTATTTCCATGTCAACTTTTTGAGACATGTTCTGAACGTCTGCTTAGGGTCATTATGATAGAAAACTTTTCGTTCAAACACAGGTTGCATAGTTTGGTTTTATTTGTGTAGGCTTTAGCTCTGCTATCATTGGACCAGGATATTTTGTGATTATTATATTTTAGTTTAATAATAATGATTTAATCTATAATTTGACATCACATGTGTAGCCAGGTGGGGATTTGGTGAGGTCAGTCTCAGATTTATGGAATCATTTTTTGCAAAATGCTTAAAAATACAAAAAATAGTGAAAAACAGAATTTTATAGCTTCAAGAACCCTCCTGTCAAGACCCCTGCACATGATTTACAATTAATGTAGGTAGGAAAGTTGTAAGCTAATTGTCAACCTTGTCAAATGTCAGTATGTAGGTTTAATGTTGATTGAAATTGAATAATTGTTTATATGATTATAAAGTGTTATTTATTAGAATAGAGAATGATAAATGATTTGGGTGGAGTATAGAGTGTTTGATCAATGTTTATATTATATTATATATTATTTTATGTATTATATTATAGACATAATAATCAGTTGATATTTTAATATTATTACTTGATAAATACTGAAAATATATCCGGTGTTGTCAAAACTTTCATGGTTAAGACCAATTTGAAAATGGAAGTTAAAGTATTTAGGCAATTCTCAATATTTCAATCCAGCTAGGACTTATCTACGGAAGTCAATGCATTTTGGTTTTGCCAACAAAAGTACTGCAGTCTTAAAATGAATTTGTAAAACTAGAAATACATCCTCATATCATGATGTAACATATAAATTTAACATAATAGTATTTTTTGTGTTAAATTTACAAATCGCAAAATAGAGACAACATGTGGGTGTTAATCTTACTTTTCTATTTATTTTCATTTATTGAGAAATGTAAGCAAGAGATTATGAAAGTGATGTGATCTAACCCAGGGCCTTTTATAACGATGACACCCAATGACAGTGATACCTTCATGTCAAATACTCTATTATAGCTCATTGAAATATCTTTAATATTATCTGTATTTTATATAAATTTCCTTAGCAATATTTTGCAAAAATTGCAAGGCAGCATGTAGATTTTGCCAGCTTAAGCATCAGGCTAATACGGTAAAGATTATTATAAATTATAAATCTGACTACTTTCCTTCTTGAAAACATGTTTGACCACTGGTCAAGTTTCAAGTTATATGTACATTATATAAATATTATTACTGATGATATAATAGGTGTTTATTCAGTTAGATCATCTACAGGGAATATATTGTCTTAAATTTGAATTATTGATGTGGGATGTGGTAGCTCAGTGTATATGGTTCAAAATTCAGTCCAAGGAAAAAGTGTTGGGTGGCTTGTATGTTACTACAGTCTGTTCAGAGTAAAGATTGGTCAGTTGGAGGTGCAGAAAAAGAATATGTACAACACCATTTCATTTGAATAATTGAGTTTTGAATCCATGCTACTACAGCATTCTTGCCTCCACCATTCCAGTGAGTTTTATGAAATATTAAAAAAATGTGTTTATGCTCTTTGGGATTCAGTGCAAGTGCTCCAATTCCTTGTTAACAGAATGTTTCCCCTTGTTTGAAGAGGATTCAAGCTGATATGACACCCAATACACCTTCTGCTCAACTTTTGAGTGCAACATTATTCTATAAGATAAATGCTAAGCTGTGTAACCAGGGCAGGATCTTATGTATGAATCTTTGTATTAGTTAAGATAAGAAGATTTGTAATTGAAGCAAGAGAATTTTCAAGAATATGACAAAGACATGAAACATTTGACTTTTGGTCATGGCCAGCAGTAATGATCAATATATTTTTAAAGAAATGGTCAGAAATATTTTAGGCAACACTCTTCATATCATGGTTTCTATGACATTAACAGTAGGATCTTACTCTATTGATCACTGAATAGACCAAAAGTTAAGGAAAACTTGAAATTGTTGAGGAAATGATTCATTAGATTGTGGGTGGATTTATTTCCCTTTGATAAGTACTACATTATTTCGAGCTATATTTCTTGTATTCAACTGATAAATATACATTTAAATATTCATTTGTATGATTAAATGTAAGTACTGTTATTTGCATGTGGTGATGTCATAAATACAAAAGGCTGATTCAACGGAAACTTTTTTTTTTCAAGTAGAATACCAGGAAAACAAGGTCCTTTATCATTTAAAATTTAAAAGAAATAGTGTAGGAAGGGGCACAATGTTTGTAAGAATATATGGCATTATAATTGACAAGATTTTATATGTTTTTTATAAATATGAAAGATTTTAAGTATTTATTGACATTGGAACAACATTGACATCTGTTAAATTTATAAGAATTTTTAAGGACAATAGGAAGAATTTTATACGCCCACATAAAATGTTAAGTGCATGCTTATATTTAATTCAGTCCGTCAAGCAGTCAGTCAGTCATTTGTCGGTCCATCTGTCCTTCCACAAACTCTCTTCAATGCACAATTCTTGACTGCAGAATTCTTTGCAGATTATGACGAAACTTGGTGAAATTGATTATTATCAACCCAGGACAAACCATATTGAAATTGAAAGCAAATAAAGGACAATTACTGACAGATTTTTATTAAGTATTAATTATCATTTTGTAAGAACACTATTTAAAACCAAAAAGTTTGAAAGAAGTGTTAGATTGAAGGTTGAATATTTCATGCTGGTAATTGTTACTGTACTGCCAAATATTTTTATTTAAAATCAAAGCTGTCAGTTGGCATATTGTAAAATATTTGTAGTATTTTGTAGAAATATATTGACATTTTAAGAGATTTTGGCAGAAAATATATTTGTGTAATGATTGAGGTAAGATTTGGTATAGTGTTTTGATTTGAATATTAAATTAGGCAGCTATCATTAATCATGTTTGACATATCTAATTGATTTCTCCCTTAGGCACATTCTGATCATAAAATTTTGAGATATTTTTTGTGTATGGACTGCCCATAACAGTAGCTATAGTAGCTTAGTGAGTAAATATACTAAACTACTGAACCCTTACCATTTACAAATTAACTTTTCTTGGTATTTTTCCTTATTGTATATGAAATAAAATTGAAAGCTTCTTGTTATTACAAACCATACTAAAAATTTCATAATTTACAAGGATAATATCTCTGATCACGTGATTTGGTTTACCAACTGGTCTGTGGACAAACTTTTTTGCATTTATTTGTCTGTACCAGGTTACAGCTGGGTGTACTTGGATTATGATTCAGAGTCACTTCTATGACTGCGATTATAGAAGGGCATCTATTTCTTCAACCTTAGCTCTGATTAAGCTACAATCTAACTTTTAAATTATATTTAACTGTGATCCCAGAGTTCTAATAGATAGCTTGTATTAGGGTGTGTTGACAGTAATATTTGTGAAACAAAAATAATTCATAGTCTAATGGTATGGATTTCATTTAGAAATAACAGACTAATTGTTATGATGATTGTAATAATGAATATTTAATAGATCTAATTATAGTCTTTCTCTAGCCTTTACCTTGTTCATTGTAATGAGACTTGTTTTTACCTGTTAACTCGTTAGGGTAAGATGAATTAATAGCAAATTAAATATTAAATAATTTATAAGCCAATAGTCTCTAAGTTTGGTGGTGTGGATTATTTAGAGGCCTTGAACGTCTTTGCATAAGTATTATTGTGATTGAAAGACTATAAAATATTAAAACTGAAACAACAGACTACAGAAAGTTACAATGATTACAAAGTTAGCTTAATTCTCCTGGCCCATAATCATTTCCTGGTGATATAAAATGCCATAAATGGATATAACATGCCATAAATGGATATAACATGCCATAAATGGATATAACACATAAATGGATATAACAAAATATCTTAAAAGATATGTAGTCCCTACAATTTTTAAGTAAAAGGATATTTTGGTAGGTAACATTTAATCCTTGGCATTAATTTATTTACTTATTTTAATTGTGTTATTTTTGGTGTTTTTCAGATTCTGAGTGGGTTTAGTTAACTTGGTCTTCCCTTTAAGGGAGGAGGAAAACCTCAACAGAAATGGCTAAAGAGGTTAGTAATATGTTAAGATATATTTCTTCAAGTTTCAGGTCATGTGCACTTTTGGTAAATGAACAGTTAAAGTCAGGGCTGATTGCTTTACCAGTAGTGTTGTACATGGGAAGGGTGATGTAATCAAATACATAGTCAGGGATGTCAGAAGTGTTAGTACAAACAGTATGGAAAGAATAAACACATTTTTGTAAGAACAGCTAATTTTCTATTCTATTAAAAACCTGGATTTGACGAAAAAAACTTTTTTTTTAAAATTATAAATATGATTATGATATTTGCTAAATATGTCATTTATTTGATGTCTATGGAAATGGTGGTCACTTTTTGAAGTCTACCGCATGCTTTGCATAACTGACTAAAGAAGAAGAACAACAGTTATGCCATTTAGGAAAAAATACAGTTGCGGTTGTGCTCATGCTCTCTGATTATATGCACCTTTCACAATTGAGTCAAAAATAACGTGGAAATATGAATGGTTAGTGGACATATTATGATGTCATGAGGATGTCAATGCTGTAATGGGACACAATGGTATGGGGGAAAAAGTTGTGGTGTTGGTGGCTCAGTGAAATTGGTACCTTTGGGTTTCTAAGGCTAGGGTTGTAATGGCAACTAATCAAGACCATGTATGTCAATTCACAGCTGTGAATGACATCACTGCATGACATCTTCAGTAAACCAAGGTGCAGCAAAGCAGAATGTTAAACTTCATTATATTTCAATTAACTTTCGAGAACATAAAGATTTTTAATTTTCCAACAGTTTGCTCACAAACCCAATACTTATTTTTTCCTGCTGCCTATGACCTTGACTGCTTGTTTTTGTAGAAAACAACAATACATCTATAAGTTCATTCAGAAGCTAGGATACTGTTGGGTCATCAAAATCAGTGACTCTTACAGACATAGGTCAATAGGCTCATACTCACATGTTTGTCAGATTTATCTACATTCATGCTCAATTTATTGTAGGTGCAGTCATAATGTATGCTAAATTAAAACTAAATACTGTAATATATATTTCCTTAAAAATGAAAACAGAGAAAGATACTGCATGTAGTGTAGGGTTATTTATAAATAATATAAAGAGCACTTCATGCTGATAGATTTCTATTTTTTCTCTGAAACCTGATATTTTAAAGGGGATTCATTTAGAATATTTATAACACATACTGAGAACAGTGAAATCCTAGTGAGATACAGTTACTTTAAATAGTTATTTTATTATCTCCATCACTAGTTAAACAATTAGTATATTTTTAGTAAGCTTTTTAACACGATTTTTACTATAAGTTTATTAAGATATGAATAGAAATAATAGAAGAGTATAAAAGATGATATTTGAAAGTAATATAAGCAGTGAAGCGAAGAGAGTAATCTCTGTACAATATTATGTATACTGTAGATAGGAGAATAAACATCCTTCTAAGATTTGATATTATAACTTTGTATTTACATTAATATCCTCTACACCACCGCATGTAATATATATATACTACTTGACACATATTGTAAACTCTAATACAAAAGTCTTATCGTGGGTGGACGACATATATTCTCTTTTTAACCAATTTTTACCTGTGATGACCTCAATTCAAACTTATCAGTCTTCTCATTTACATCAAAATGACAAAAACTTCGGTGATAGGAAACTTGGTGGTGTCAAGTTGAAGAAGTAGAGCTACTTTTGTGTCAATTCAGAGTGAAAACAAGGCCTGGTATAATATAGGTTATAGTACATGTGTTGTTATATTTAAATGGATTATATGAAGGAATTTTAAGCAAGCCGGTGATTAAGTGTATTGTTTGATTGCATCAGGATGGTTATTTAGCCAATTGTCAATACAAACCATGATAGAGGTAAAGTACAAACGATATTATTATTTCTGATTAGGTTTTTTTTAAAATTTGTTTTAAGTGATTTAAGGCAACTTCTGCAGTGATTGAACCTGAACTAGGGAAAAAGATTTCAGTGTCAACTGTTAGAGATAAAATATTTTACACTAGTAAATAGTCAATTACTATATAATCCCTCAATGTAAACGCTGTATGGCTTACAAGTATTACGTGTAGCCAGTCACATACTGAATTCCTTATCATATCTTAGCCTTGTTGAAGTCAGGTTGGGCCTAAATCCTTAAAAGATTTCTCAATTTATCCCTAGAATATGTTCTGTCTCATACCATGATCTTAGGTTAAATTTTATCAATAAATTTAATGAAAATTCTGTCAAGTATAAAGAAAATAAATCTGATATTTTAACCTAGATTATTGTAAGGAAGAAATATGTCCTATATCAACTTCATATCATATATCCTTCCTTACATAGTGTAATAACCTCCATGTTTTATAGTCACAGCCAAGTAGGAAAAATCTTTTCTTTCAGGTTTGAATAGGCGAGATAGGCATAAGTGTTGAATGCCAAAAACCCAAAAAGCAATTATGTTTATACAGCGCACATTGGCAATGAGATAGTTTTAGTTGCTTCCTCATTCAACCTATTAGAATCTGAGGAAACAATTTTGTACTTTTGTACTTTTGATTGGGAAAGTTATTTTAAAGTGTTAAAAACAAAGCAGTTAAAGTGAAATCACTTTGTTAAGCCTATTATTTTTTATCTTCACTCAAGAAGAGTTGATTATTTGTTTTGACACTAAAGTTTTTGCAGCATATATATCACAAGATGGAGTAGTAAGTGTTAATTAAATATGATAAGACTATGTTAGACTTACTAATGAAATAATGAACCTCTGATAATGAGAGGTTTTCTACTGTATTTACCATGACGCAGTACTTTGGCTAATTGACATTTGGCATTTCATCAAATAAGTCTTGTATGATAGAAGCCTTGCCATCATTTACATAAGATATATATATATATACCAAACGCGTCCCAATTATCATATTGGAAATTGTAATTTCATTGATATATTGCACCCATACCACTTCTCTTAAAGGTTAAAGTTCAAGCAATTTATTTGTTGAACTATAAAATATTTATTACATTCCAATACCACAGTGCATTAAAAATTTATATCATATACAATATTATTTATATATACCATATTGAAATTGACTTAAGTTTACCAACTTTACAGCCATCTTGTTGAAATACTTATGATTTAATTAGCATATAAATCAACCGATAAGATTATTAGGTTTTAGATGGATATTTGATAAATAAATACCAAAACAACACAAATAAATTTCATAATAAAAACACAAATTTGGTCGCAAATTATAATTGACACACATGGATAGCAAAGGAAATGAAATAATAGTTTTAATTCCTACTTGTCTGCACAACAGAGTTGTAAAAAGACCATAATGGGTGGACAAGATTTATAGATTGATAAGAAATAGATTTCAGCTACTATTTACACCTGATGATTATTTTATACAGCCAGTTGGTTTTATTGTGTGAAACAATTTGTATGGTCAGTCTTGGTCCATCTGGCCATGTTAGCTTGTCAAATTGATACTATTGTAAAAATGAAATGAGATTTTCACGTGCAATATCATTTGATACAAGTAAATGATGTGACTAAAAGCTAAAAAGACCCCTAAATTGGCAAGTGAATTCCTCTGAACCGGCAATATTATATATCATTTTGATATTGATATTTGATATTGTGTTTGGAAGGGATTTAAATTTACAGTAAAAATTACTGCTGGGCCTCAGGTTTTGTACTAAAATTTTAAGAACTAAAGGCCCAGAGAACTCATTTCTAACAATTTTTAGGTGCCAAAAACAGATTAAAAACTATATCTTTTTGATTTTGTACAGACATTGTAAATAAATCAATCTCTGGTGAACTGAAGAAGGTTTTGCTGGGGTTTAATTATCACTTGCTGGGGCCCAGCCCTCACAGACCCAAAAAATAGGAGTCCACATCCGATTAAGGTGAAGGAAGAATACTAAAAATAGAAAATATAACAATATGATTCTGTTATATGAAGTATAATATATTAAATATTGAGGGGGTTTTAGGAAGTTTTAGTCAGAAAGTAGTGTTATTGTAATATTTGTATAGTCAAAGGAAGTCAACACCTTGTGTAGTCAATTCAAACAGGAAAAATACCCCACCCCAGCCTTCTTTACAAAATTGTCTTGTGATATTGATTCTAGGACTAAATCAATGTAAATTATTAAGGAAATGATAGAGACATAAAAGAATTTAATCTCTTTTTAAATGGATATGGTCTTCATATAAATTTTTTTATCCGTTTAATTTGAATAAGAAATGCCCAAATTCTCATTTTCACTTCAAGTGTATATTCTCATCAATTACTACAGGTATCTCAGGTAACTGAAATTTTATCATCTGGTGAAGCAAATAATGAATGGGAAATGTGATATATAATTATGTTTATTACAATATCTTTCAGATCATAGGTATAAAGGTGTGTAATTATCTGCAGTCTAATTTTAATTAGACTGTAATGATCTGCCTCTTTACTTAAACAGCTCTTAGAGCTGAATTTCATCTATTTGCATAAAGGCGTTTTGAGGAATAATTAGTCAGGGGTGCCAGTTAAGGGCCACAGAATGTCAAATGGGGCTCCATATATAAAATGATAAGAAAATTTGAAAGCTGATGAATTTCTGGAGTTAGAATGGCAACAATGAGTCATCTTGTTGTAATGGGTGTGTTATTTTACCAAACTTTAATCTGAAAATCCTTATATATTTCTTCATATCTTTATTATGCATATTTTTGCCTACGTCAATCATTGATATTTGTTGTGACAAAGTTGGCTCATTTACAAGTATAATTATATAGATATTTAAATCGCAATGATCACTTGACATAAACATGTTTAAAGCCCCATCTTTAAGGCTATTGAGGTATGTTGTTATTTTGGACATGGAAGAAATACTGTTTAAGGGACAGATGCGCTATTTTGGGGGGATGATTTTGGTCTTGAATAAATGCGAATAGTCTTCTAAAGTATTAGAAATGTAGGAATATGGCATAATTCCTGTAGAAATTCTTCAAATGAAGAATTTTACTCACAATTTCTATATGTCTTTGTCTTTTATATACATCACAGAGTATCTTAGCATCAATTTCCACCATTCAAATTTTCAAACAGATGTCTGTGGTTCCTGCAATTCCACAAAAACTAAGTGTTTGATGAGGTCACTAATCGCAAAGGGTCCTATGTGATAAAGCATAGTTTGTGATTAGTGACGTCGTTTTAGTGGAATTGCATCTACAAACAACATTTAATATACTATTTAGGACTAAAATTTCCAGTCCGCCTAAACTATTCTTCAGAATTGAACAAGTTCTAATTTCCTGCTATTAGATTAGATTAAATCTACTTATGAGATCCATTTTATTTTATTGCAGACAAATCTTAAGTATACTTTCATTCTTATAAGTGATTTAAGACAAAGCTCTATGTGGTCTATTGTGAATTAAGACAATTTTATTTTTAAGTTTGATATAATTTGAAATATCACTCTCACAAGAAATTGTTTTAATAAAAAAAACTTTTATTGAATCGTTAAAAAAAGGTGTAGGGTTAGAAGTGTGTTAGTAGATAACTGATAGGATAGGTCTAGTACAATAGTCATTCTATAAATAGAGCTAATGTTTACATACTATCTTTTCAAGTACATACATTAACAATTCTAGATTATCCATATTTGATTTAGTTAGGTCGCTTATAATTGCTTCCGTAAATAATATAAAAAAACCATTATTGTATGAAATAAAATATGATCAGGGTCATTCATATAGAAGCCATATTGGTGTCTTTAGGCAGGGTTAGGTATTAGGGGGTGACATTGGGCCGACCCTCGAAAGCACAGACATCAGTTAGGGTTAGGGTTAGGGTTAGGGCTAGGAAACTGAAATAGATATCTATTTCAAACAAGATGTGATCAGTCCTATGATATTGGTGCATGACCTGATCAGTCTTAAAATATTGGTACATGATGCGACCATTCTGATGTTATTGGTTTATGATGTGATCAGCTCCATAATATTGTTACATATTTGACCAGTCCAATAATACTAGTACATGATGTGATCTTCCCTATAATACTGGTACAAGATGTGATCAGTCCAATAATACTAGTACATGGTGTGATCTTACCTATAATACTGGTACATGATATGATCAGTCTCATAATACTATTACATGATGTGATCTTCCCTATAATACTGGTACATGATATGATCAGTCTCATAATACTAGTACATGATGTGATCTTCCCTATAATACTGGTACATGATATGATCAGTCTCATAATACTAGTTCATGATGTGATCTTCCCTATAATACTGGTACATGATATGATCAGTCTCATAATACTAGTACATGATGTGATCTTTCCTATAATACTGGTACACGATGTGATCAGTCCAATAATACTAGTACATGATGTGATCTTCCCTATAATACTGGTACATGATGTGATCAGTCTCATAATACTAGTACGTGATGTGATCTTTCCTATAATACTGGTACACGATGTGATCAGTCTCATAATACTAGTACATGATGTGATCTTACCTATAATACTGGTACATGATGTGATCAGTCTCATAATACTAGTACATGATGTGATCTTCCCTATAATACTGGTACACGATGTGATCAGTCTCATAATACTAGTACATGATGTGATTTGTCCTACAATATTGGTACATGATGTGATCTGTCCTATAATACTGGTACATGATATGATCAGTTGTATGATATTGTTATATGATGTGATCAGTCAAATGATATTGTTACATGATGTGATCAGTCCTATAATATTGGTACATGATGTGACTATTCTTATGTTATTGGTTTATGATGTGATCAGCTCCATGTTATTGTTACATATGATCAGTTGGATGTTATTGGTACAAATACAATCACTCTTGTAGTAATTATGTTATTGGTACAATCACAGTGGTTATTTTACTTGATGTTTTCAGTCCCATGTAATAGGTTCAAATGTGATCACTCTCATGGTAATTGTGATCAGTCATAGTCATGGACATACATGATGAGGTCAGATTTTTTGAAAAAACGTATGGTAAAATTTACTCCTTTGTCTTCACCAAAAGCCCCATTTGAGATATATACTGTCACTTTGTATATTTTTTTTCCAAATTTTATTGAAGACATCCTTTGATTTTGTTCAATTGAAGGGAGGCACATGACAATTTAATGTGTAGAATGTTTTTTGTTTTATTTACAGGATGAATTATTCTAAACATGTAAATAAACATGTTAAAATAGCCTTCATCATTTGTTTTTTTTTTTGTCATTCTGTTTGATCTTATATTTATATTCGAAATCTTTATTTTAAACTTAACCTACAAGCCACAATGACGTAATTACACTATGTTTTTATTACTAATTGTGTGTTGTATTTCCTCTCTGTTTTTAATTTCTTGGTTTAAAACTGGAGTAGAGGCATTAATTAATCATTGACAAGGTTTGATGTATACTTAATGAATACCTATTTATATTTTTCAGTGGCAAAAGTTAAGCCCATCTGAATTCCATCAGCTACAGGAATATACATCATGTAAGTAATTTGGTAATTTATTTAGTTTATAGGGTTTGAAATTCAACCTCATATATTTTAGATTATTAAGGGGCTATAAAAAAAGGTTTCCAGAATATGGGTATGTATCAGGAACAATACATGCTCCATATATTTTGTTGAAGATCAGGTGTAAACAAATTTTGCATGCAACATGAAACAGGTGAAAAAACGAAAGTGACAAGATAGTTTGCCAGGCAAGGTAATATATCTGAGTATAATATTAGGTAGTGATATTAATAATCCATCTGTGACTTACTCTCTTTGAGATGGATCTCTCTGATATCATACTATCATTCACATTGAATACTGTTTTAAAATTGTCTTTTATGTCATGTATTCATTGCAAGATTAAGCGGAGATTTCTGCACCAGAGTTGATAGGAAGTGTGCCAAAACTAAAGCCACAAATAGACAAATCAAGTTTAATGAACCAAGCCCATAGTTCATCTATACAAGCTAACACTGAGGTCAATTTATTTTAAACTTTGGTCAAGATGTAATCTGTCCAAGTCAGAAAACTAGACGTTGGCAAGACTATGAATGGGAGTTCATTGAGCCAAAACCAGTAGGGAGCTAACAGAATGGTCATCTTTGATGGAATTATGATTTGCAATTCTTATTAACCTTCAGAACACATTCATATTTATTTTATTGAGACATTTTCCTGTAATATTTTCTTACTTGAGAATTACCTAATTCAGACTATAAGTCAATGCTAAGACTTGTTCTATATTCCATATAAGGCCATGGCTAGTATTGTCACAAATCTCTTACTATAAAAAGATGATGAGGGCTAAACCTTGCTTGGTAATGCTCAGTATCCTCTCGTTGAAAAGTATCTGACAGGTTTTCTTGACAATTGTTGGCAAGAAAGGAGTCAATAATAACTACCAGTATCAATGGTTAGATAAGGTTCGGATGTTTTCGACATCATGATTTTACAAAGGTTAATAGACATTTTCAATTCTTTTTAACATTGCACCTTGGAGATCAAATAACAGATGTGATAATGATATATCTTATGCAATTCAATTTGGAAATTATTTCATAGATTTTATGGAAAAATTTAATTTTACACTTTGCTCATGACTCCTCAGAAGAGTAGGAAACATTATGAGTAAGAAGAAATAGTTGTAGGTGGGTGAAATGAAGGTCATTACAAACATTAGGAAAGTAATTAGTCATATGAGAAATCAATTAATATTCTAGCTACAAGTTATTTTAATTACCACCTAGATCCTACAGCTTACACTATATATATATTATATTATAAATCATAGTACATATAGCTTTATTACACTCCTTTATAGTTTTCTTGATGTTTTAAATATGTCCTTGGAAAGCTGCTCTGATGTCTTCTCACAATTGATGCAATTATAAGACATGAACATGTGAATTAGAAACATATTTCAATATTACAAGCCATGTCCTCTTTTGCTAGTATCTGATGCAGTAATTTACAAGAAATAATCTTACTTTTTTTGATATTCAAAAACTACCCTGAACATCGCAGTATTAAATCAGATGCCAAATGTGCATTCAGATCCAATTTAAAAAAAAAGATTCTCTATCAGCAGGCCACAATACACCCACTCTTAGATCTGGGTGGTAAATGAGAAGTAAAGAGTTACATGAATAAATTAGGCATTCGTTTGATCTTTAAACTATTTCTATCATCTACAACAGTCTTCCTACATACTGAGTATAAACACATGTATATTTGTCTACTGTACAAAAGGTGTTTATTCATCACTTCTTTGTTTTAAATGAGAATGTGCAATATTTACTTAATGTTTTTTCTGTCTACAAAGACCCTACTTATCATTGTAATTCCAACTGGTTCGATATGTATAGTACACACCCTAATCAGGTAGCAAGTTAGATATATTTAATATGTGACATTCATAGCTGAAATGTATCGGGCACTAAAACTAATACTTTCTTGCTTTAAAGGTCTTTTAACTACCAAAAGATGACATACTACAATATGCCTAATGAAATTATGACAGTCTTCTTCTAATCGTGTTTCTATGATTAATACGGTACCAGAACATTTTGAATGCAAAGAATGCTAAAATTAACAGCTAAAAGAAAATTTTGAGGCAACTCTAACTTTAACTGTCTGATATGTTCAAGCATTGACTGATTAACAATTTTGTTCAGGAAATCTAGGGATTGATATTGTTGATTTTACATAAAGTTCTTTAGAGCATATCAATGAATGGTAAAGATAACACTCTTGATAAGCTTCATCAAGAGATTTATGATGTAATTCATGATGTCAGCACTGCATCCATTAAAGATGTGAAAAGAATCGACTTTCTATTTATGGACTATGAAACAAGTTAATGGTAGGAAGCAATATCAATAATATTGGTACCGGCACCATACTCTTATACTAAAATACCTTGCTAAGGGTAATTCATGCCTGACTTTTAACCTAGAACATATAAGTGAAGCGCTAAACTAGACCAGTTAAAGGAAACAGACTATAGCCTGCAAGTCTATTAGTAATGTAGAGCTAGAAGAAGGAATAATGTAGTGCTATATAGTAATGAATAGTTATTATATATCACATTATATCTCATACAACTATAGTCTTTACTAATAAAAACACATTTATTATTTTACTCTTCCCTCTCTGGTTTATCTAATTTATTCAATAAGTAATGAAATATGGTTTCTAGGTATTTGTCAATACGTTACTAGGCTAGAATTCTCCATAGGATTTCAATGAAATTAGTTAGGTGTCGTCTATGTAAGGAATTGTTTAAGACCAAGATGACATTCTAGTTAGTTGTTCTTAACATGATAATAGCCAACTCTGGTACATCAATATACCAAGCTAACTAGAGGAAAATAAGCTGTAGGCACCTACTATATCTGGTCTAGTGCAGATTGCATCATATTTGTTTATAATACTATAATGAAAGACTAACTATAAACATGAATTTATGGAAGTTTAGACAACTTTTGAATTCATAAATGTCTTTTGTGACATCCATATTGCTCTGTTTTTGAGCTTGGTAGTTACTATATGACTGATGTACAATGAAATGATGTACAAATGCTAACAAATAAAATCTAATTGTATAAAAGATACTAGAGAAGACATGTCACCTGCTTGAACAGGAATCCAGCAGTAACAGTGTAACTGAAAGTATGTTGAGTGGTGGCTAACCAAGCTTAGTGCTTGCTGGCTAGGCTAGAGGTCCAAAGTTTGGTCCTACCTCCTTGCTTTCCTTTTCTCTTTAATACAGTTTTTTGGTCTGACTTTTTAATATCAAATGTTCATTTGTTAGCTGCCTGATGATATATACACATAGGCCTATTAGTGGCATCAGGAACATCAGCTACTACATCAGTGTCTAGCATCACAATATGAAAGAATTTTATCTGTATTTAATGGTAGCTGCTAAACAGTCACGAGCGACAATAAACAAACATAGTTATGACCTTTTCAAAGTGGAAGAAGGAAAAACTGAGCAATAACATTTCAGGTCTTGAATTCATGTAAAAATAAAAAAAAAGTTTATTGGTTTTAGACCCATGTTAGGATTATATGCAATAAAGAACAATGTCATGAAGGCCATTATAGAGATGATGAGTACATTATTTACATAATGGCTACTTCCTTGTCATTTGCAAATAGTTCACCACATGATCTGCACTATGTTTGTACAAAATGGATTGTTTATATTGTTTTCAAAATGAATAGATGAAAAGTCTAAAAATAGAAAATTGTGATTGACAATTAAAACTGTCTAGTTATATCTCTGGGTATATTTAGACTATTCATTTTAAATAATGCATTGTGTAAAATATAATTAACTTGGTCTAGAGTTCTGATTGTAATAGAGCTAAAATTGGGTTAGAGAGTTATAAATGAAATGTCTTCTGCAGAAGAGCATAACTTCTCTGCCATTCATAAATGACAATTCTTTAATAAAAGTACCTATAGTTCAACTTCTAGTTTGTCTTCAATTAGATGAAAAAAAAGTACCTCACTTTAAGGACAGTATTTACTAGTCTGCAGTTTTTGAGGTCTGTGAAAAGCTGAAATTGACCTCTTATCATCTATCAGTAATTAGTGGACTATGTCACTTTAACCAATACCAACTGACTTCAATCAGTTGAGACAAGTCATACTATAATATTTCTATTACTTTCCTATAATTGAAAATAATATTGGTAATGTTCTATCAGTACTTATGTGATATTGAAGTTAGCTAATGATAATGGAGTAGGCTAAGATGATATGTGTACATAATGCTAACATTGAATGTCAATAGATTGAAGAGAAAGAGAAGAGTATTCTAGCCTATAGGCTGTATACATAATGTCTAGAACTCATTCTTATCTTTAAACAATAGTACTAACTATACACTTGTATATTCTCATCTCTTATATTTACATTAGTTATATCTCTGGTGCTAGATTAGTATTACAGCCAAGGTGGTACTTACCTAATGCATAGAAATAATTCTGGGACCACATGCTGGAAGAAATGGGTTGATTAAGCCTTACTTGCTTATCACTTAAAAAATCTAATTCACCAATAATATTTGAACATAAGCAATAGATTCATCTGTAATCTGAAAACACATTCCACAACTTTGCAGTAATTCACTATATATATATATATTATATCTCATTGTATTGTTACCAACTGCATCCTTCAAAAAAAGGGTCAGATGAACAATTTTTGTGGTCATGATGTCATCTTTTTGAATTAATCATCCAAGTGATCATTGTGTCTTCAAAATGTCTGTTTAAAAATAAGAGGACATGGTTTATGCAACAATACCTAGCAATATGTTATAGATTACACTTTAACTGATTGTTTTGTATATATTTTATAGATTCATCTAAACAGTTGAAAGATGTATTAAAAGAATTTGATGGAGATGGAGTTTTATCTAAATATAATCCCGAGGAGGTTCGTGTATATTTATATGTTAATTACAAATATTTTACTCAGCTACAAACTTGGTGCATCAGAATTTGTCTTGCTTTGAAAGGGATTTAGAACAATGGCACACCATAGCTGAGCAGCCGACTTTATTTAAAATCAATATTAGTGATTGACCAATCAGATCAAGAGAAACATTCTAATTAAGAGTAGGATCCACGAGTTTCCTCTTAACTCTTAAATGATGGTAGATCTTTTTCAAAGTTATGTCATGTTTATATTATTTCATCTTCTTAAAGCCACCTTTATTTATAGTTATCATTTTTATATTTCAGCCAATGGACTATGAAGGATTTACTTTGTTTATGGATGCGTATTTTGAAGCTCAGGTGCCTGAAGAATTATGTCAACATGTCTTCCTTTCTTTTATGAAAAAACCAGTTACCCCTTCTGCCAGTGGTAAGGATTATAATTTAAAGGATGTGGCAGTGGTTGCTCAAACTGTGTGTGCACCAATCACTCACCAAACTACAACAGGTTTTCATGTTGAGAAAGAAAAACACCATGGATTAGCTGAAAAACTTCATGGATTAACTGAAAAATTACATGGTTTAGGTCACCATTCGAGTGATAAAAGTCACCGTCATGATAGTACGGGCTATGAGTCTGGTAGACAGAGTCGTGCAGGTATTTTTAACATGTTTATTACATAGTGTTTGATGTAGGTTTTATCATTGTAGTGAATATTTTGTAGTCCTTCTTTTCCAGTTTGAGTCGATATATAATTATTTGAATTATGTTGTATTTTGATTCATTGTCTATGTATAATTTTGAATGGTTCAGATGTACATAATTTTGCATGATGTAGTAAGAAATTAAAAGCTGCTGTACATTAACAATATAACCAATGTAAACATTATGGGCTACCAATACTCATATTTTGGCCTGTATCTGTGAAGTTTGCTGGATTAGCTGTATATGAAGAAGAGAACACAAATTAATGCCTCTGTCTTATTGTCTGAGCAAAGTAAAAAGTTTTTTGAATTTTTGAAGAGAATAGGAATATCAGTCTCAAAGTAGTACTGTTAGTTTTTGAATGACTTTGCATTGATCAAAATATAATCGTTTGAAAGTTTACATTGAAAAGCACATTTCTCTCCTATAAACCCTTACAAGTCACGAATTTTGGCTGAAATTGTCCTCTGTAAAAACAAATTTTGAAGACATAATGTGTGCTTATGCTTATATTTTCATCAACGCAAAGACTTTCTAAGACTAACAGTACTATTTTGAGGCTGATATTCCAATTCTCTTAAAAATAATGGGAAAAATTTTTACTTTGCTCAGACAATAGGACAAATAGCAGTATTAACAAAATTAGCAATACTACAGAAATAACACAAACATCTTACACTCATTTCACTTTTAACCATATTTTTATAACATCTGATTTCTCTTTCCATAATTCATTGTCAAGTTTTAGCAACTGAAATTCATATCAGTTACACAACTTGAATCAGAAATACTGAAATCACAGTTGAGAAATAGTGAAATAGAAATAAAATAAACAAAGCTTACGCCAGTCTGTCACTTTTCATGTCTCCCCTCCCCTCTCTCTATATCTTGATATTGTTGTTATGCCTATTTAAAGTACATTGTACAAAATTCCCTTTCTTCATTTTTGAATGAGTTTACAAAATCAAATCTGAAACTGAATTATAGTTTTATTTTTTTTTTACTTGAATATCATTTGATTTCATTTATGATTTGTATATTGGAAAAACTCCATTTGTATATCATTTATTTCATTTTGTTTTATTTTACTATTTTGGTAATTTGAAATGTAATAAGCATGTTAATGGTGTCTGTAGACTCTGGTATCCAGAAGGTAATGCCTTTTATCATGACCCTTTTTGGTTGCTTTATTATTATTATAAAACGTTAAAGCATGTGGTGTTATCGACATGGTAACCTTTTAGTTTGTTTGATCAGCTTTTTGCATGCAAGATGAGTATCATTATGATTTACTCCTTTTTTCACAAATTGTGAAACACAGAGAAAATAGTTTTAAGAGCTAAACACTGGGATTCAATGGCTACCAAATATGGTCATTTTGTAACATTGCCTGTTTACTGTGTCAAATTCTCTTAGACAGGCTCTTATTTCCCAGTGAATGTAGGATCTATGACTGCATTAAATTCATTGGTAAATCAAAATCTCCAAACTCATCAAACCACTGATTATCAAATCATTTTTAAACAGGCTCCACATCAGCATCAATCCATACAACTATAGGGATTGCGTCGGCAGCAGATAGAGCATTATTAGAAGAAGAATTAGCAAAAGAAGCCTCCAATCACTCTCGGTCATCTTCTAAAAAATCAAACCACAGTATACATAGCATACATAATGGTAAGATATCATTATCATCTCAAAAGGTTTTTTGTCTTTGTTTCATTTGATAGGAGTGGAAAAATTGCACAATAGTTGAAGAGAGTTGAATTGCAGGGAAAAAAAGTTATTTGTTATTTGGTGAACTCAGGTTTAAGTCAAAATGCTTTCAATCATTTCAAAAAAAAACCTACAGAAACTTTAAGTATAAGCTTATTCATTATAGTGTAACATGCAAAGGTGTCTTTCACTATAGATTGATATTAGTGTAGCAGTATTCTAACACAATGTGAAATATTGTGCTCAGATACATTCTCCAACTCATGATCAGATACTCTAGTTGTTTTCTATTGAATTTCACATATTGTAGTTTTATTATATGTGACAACTACAACATACAGGAAATCACACGTTGCAAGCATGTTACACAGGAAATTACATGTTGAAGTTACACACGATATCACATGTTGAAGTTAGCTAGGATATCACATGTTGAAGTTAGCTATGATATCACATGTTGAAGTTACGCACGATATCAGATGTTGAAGTTAGCTATGATATCAGATGTTGAAGTTAGCTATGATATCAGATGTTGAAGTTACACACGATATCACATGTTGAAGTTACACACGATATCACATGTTGAAGTTACACACGATATCACTTGTTGAAGTTAGCCAGGATATCACATGTTGAAGTTAGCCAGGATAACACCAGGATATCACATGTTGAAGTTAGGTATGATATCACATGTTGAAGTTACGCACGATATCAGATGTTGAAGTTAGCTATGATATCAGATGTTGAAGTTACACACGATATCACATGTTGAAGTTACACACGATATCACATGTTGAAGTTAGCCAGGATATCACATGTTGAAGTTAGCTAGGATATCACATGTTGAAGTTAGCCAGGATATTACATGTTGAAGTTAGCTAGGATATCACATGTTTAAGTTAGCTATGATATCACATGTTGAAGTTAGCTATGATATCACATGTTGAAGTTGGCTATGATATCACATGTTGAAGTTACACACGATATCACATGTTGAAGTTAGCCAGGATATCACATGTTGAAGTTAGCTAGGATATCACATGTTGAAGTTAGCCAGGATATCACATGTTGAAGTTAGCCAGAAAATCACATGTTGAAGTTAGCTAGGATATCACATGTTGAAGTTAGCCAGGATATCACATGTTGAAGTTAGCCAGGATATCACATGTTGAAGTTAGCGAGGATATCAGATGTTGAAGTTACACACGATATCACATGTTGAAGTTAGCCAGGATATCACATGTTGAAGTTAGCCAGGATAACACCAGGATATCACATGTTGAAGTTAGCCAGGATATCACATGTGGCCAATACTACCTATGGAATATCGCATGTTGTAGATTGAATGTAACATGTAAAAGTTATATAACATTGGATATCACATGTTGTAGATTGAATGTAACATGTAGAAGTTATATAACATTGGATATCACATGTTGCAGTTATATTATATAGAAGATGTTTTGTTTCAGGTCCATTATTAGAAAGTGTTGATCCATGGATACGCCAGTCAAACTCTTCATTATTAAAAACACAAACAGACAAAAGATTAGATCAGAGACATCGTACAAATAGTTTTGATATAAAAAATGGACATATTTATTTGAAAGATTTAGTGTGTTATTTATCATTATTAGAGGCTGGAAGACCTGAAGATAAACTAGAATGTAAGTCTTCAGTTTAAACATGGTGGTCAATAGATTTGAAAATATCTTATCTACGGACAATTGATACAAATCATGTTTTGTGATCATTCCTAAAAGTTATATTGTATTTTTAAGATAGACGTCGATAGCTTTAAATTGCCATCCTTCAATCTATCCTGACAATTCACTTCTGTGAAACTTGGTAGAACCAGAGTTGTCAAGCTAATCATAATCTTTTCACATGCTGCTGAAGATATTGCTGAAATATTTGATATTGACATGCTATTATGCCTGTTGCTAAAGATTCCAGAAGACATAAGCTCTGTAGCTGGAAAACTATATATTACGCTGATGTTAAGCCATTATTATATTGAAATTCAACATTGACATTGATTTTATTGTAGTTATGTTCAGATTGTATGATGCAGATGGAAATGGTCTCTTAGATTCTAGTGTAAGTTCATTTTCTCTAGTGTTGACTGAGCTAACCTGGGTGTGGAGTTGGATCTCAGCATTGGTTGAAACAGTCTCATTGAATATTTCTTCCTGATTTCCCCTTATCAGTGATATAGGTTGCAGGGGTTGAAATCTTGTTATTTGCCTGGGTCTGAGAATCTGTGTGTTCATTCTTTTAAATGCAGAACTCGAAATATTAAGATGTAGTTTGTTCAGGTAACTATTTGTATCTTTGTAAGTTATTTTCAATAGAAATATTAAATGTATTGTAGGAATTAGATTGTATTGTTAATCAAATGATGTCTGTAGCAGAATATCTTGGTTGGGATGTTTCAGAACTAAAACCAGTAAGTTTTTCACTACATTATTCATGTGTAATATAACAATTTCAAAATACTGAAATCAAGGCCATGGCATAATGGAGGCAAATGCCTCCCCCTGTGAAACAACTAAAGGTAGGAGTGTTTTGTTTTTCAATTATGTATTAAATCCACAGTTTTTATGCCTTGTTGTAATTTGAATGGTAATACATTGGTGACTGGAATGAAACATGATATATTTTTAGATATTACAAGATATGATGTTAGAAATAGACTATGATTCTGATGGTGTGGTATCAATGGAAGAATGGAAGAAAGGAGGAATGACCACTATACCATTACTAGTTTTATTAGGTCTAGATACGGTAAGTTTGCTATTACTGTACTATATTCATAAAACAAGTCATCTGAAATTCTTATAATCTTCACATTAAATCAGCAGTAAAAAAAGGTTGCAAAGAACAAAAAGAAATTTGTGATACAGAAAATTATTAAACACATATTTTCCATAAATTCCTTGCTCTTTTTCTTCATTTTGAGTTTTTATGAACATGTGATAATAGTCTATTTTATTGTCTATTGAAATATCAAGAAACAGGCTACAGTAATTTAATGTTATAAAACCAGCCCATTAAGATTGAAACTCTCTACCACATTAATTATTAATTATTTGATTTTACTCTCAGAACTAGTTGATTTCACATTGATTGGTTTCTAATGTTAACTAATATTTGGTTTATTACAGAATGTACAAGATGATGGAAGCCATGTTTGGAGATTGAAACATTTTAGTCGACCTGCATATTGTAATTTATGTTTAAATTTATTGGTAGGCTTTGGTAAACAGGGTCTCAGTTGTACTTGTAAGTATATAGTATTATTTTTGTGTAAGGGGAAACTACTTGATATTGATATATGACTAATACTGATATCAGATTAGGTTCAAATGACAGAAAGTTCTCTGATGGTAAAAAAGAGTATGTCCCAAGTTGTCAAATTTCTATGTATATGGGAAACCATCTGAGAAAAATATATTGACACTAGATATTATGAAATATGATTTTGATCTTCCTATGTTTGAGAAAGAATTTTGTATTTGTAGTTTGTAAATATACAGTTCACGAAAGATGTGTTCATAGAGCTCCAGCCTCCTGTATTACTACCTATACTAAGTCTAAAAAGACAGTTCAGGTAAGCATTTTTTAAGCTAAGATTGGATTCTGGTTTCTCATAATTCCATTTTTGGAAACCAGCATTTGCTGTTACTAATTTCTTATAGTTGAATTTAGAAAATGTTCTATATAGAAAACACACATTCAGAAACAATTGAAGAGCTTCCGTGGTCTAAGGGAGATAATCATAATAATATATTGAGTTATCTTTCTGTTTCCTTATTTTAGACAATGAACCATCATTGGGTGGAAGGAAATTGTGCTGGAAAATGTGATAAGTGTAGAAAATCTATTAAATCTTACAATGGTGTAACAGGTTTACACTGTAGATGGTGTCATCTAACTGTAAGTATACTATAAAAATATTTAATCTTAAAATATAAGCTCAAGATTTATCCATGACATATAATTTTATTTTATTAAAAGAATATGAAGAATTTAGGATAGGATCTGTTGCAAGTTTTACTTTGAAAGAAAGTTGATTCTCATAAGATAATCTGATCATTGCAAATCAAATATTTTGTATTGAACCTGTCAAAGGGTACTATTATATTGAGGTATTGCTGAGTGGGTAGAAAAGCCATCATGTATGGTTTATGAATATTTTGCTTGTTTTGTTTTTCAGCTGCATAATAAATGTGCATCACAGTTGAAACCTGAATGTGATCTGGGACCATTCCGTGACCATACTTTACCTCCTATAACTATATGTCCAGCTGTGCTGGTAAGTTAGTTATGATTTTGACACATGTCATCATGAAATATTTTACGGTTGGATCTTATAAGTAAAATCTTAAGATTGGGGTCTAAAGTTTGTGGAATATTTGCATTGTTGATTTGTTTCCCTCCTGTTAAGTTATTTAACTTACTTTGCTTACATACTGAAGCCATTGTATTTAAAAGTTAACCCCTAACAATCTGTCTTAATGAGCAATGTATATCAGAAAATTGTCTGTAACTAAAGATAAGTTTCTATTTATTAGATGATAAGAGATAAATCTCAGATATAAATATATAATAAATGGTTTAACTAATATCTAGTTTAATAGATAATGAAAAAAATAAGTTATATAAATTATTTCTTTGATCAAGAAGAAATGAAATTAATATTATTTTATTTAGGACCGACCAAGAAGTGACAAAAATAAAAGTTTAACAAGAGTTGATTCAGCCAACTTAGATGGACCCATGCAGGTGAGCTTTCTTTCTATAGATAAATTTTTTTGAGATACTTGGTTCTTGATCGATAAAATTTTTGAATGATCCAATTTTGTCTTTCAGGGCCAAAGCTCATTTCAAGTGATCCCATTTGAAGGCTCCCATCCATTATTAGTTTTTATTAATCCTAAATCTGGGGGAAAACAAGGTGGAAGGTAGGTGGACATTTAACTAATATAATAATATTTGATGTATTTCAGTGATGCAGTATTTGGTATTAATTTATTTATATATATGATATGATAAAATATTGTTATTAATATGTTTTATAATGTATTATGGAAGTTCCAGTATTAATTATGAAATAAAGATTTTGATTGATATATTATCTTCATGTTTTAGAACATTACTAATTATAAGTATTATTAAAGTTCAAGTATTTATTATGAAATCTGATATGATATAAAGATTGTTATTGATTAGTTATCTTTATATTATAGAATATTAAGGAAGTTCCAATATTTATTATAAAATATGATATGATATAAAGATTGTTATTGATTAGTTATCTTTATGTTATAGAATATTACGGAAGAATATTATAAAGATTGTTATTGATTTGTTATCTTTATGTTATAGAATATTACGGAAGTTTCAGTATTTATTTTAAAATATATGATATAAAGATTGTTATTGATTAGTTATCTTTATATTATAGAATATTACGGACGTTCCAGTATTTATTATGAAATATGATATGATATAAAGATTGTTATTGATTAGTTATCTTTATGTTATAGAATATTACGGAAGTTTCAGTATTTATTATAAAATATGATATGATATAAAGATTGTTATTGATTAGTTATCTTTATATTATAGAATATTACGGAAGTTCCAGTATTTATTATAAAATATGATATGATATAAAGATTGTTATTGATTTGTTATCTTTATGTTATAGAATATTACGGAAGTTCCAGTATTTATTATAAAATATGATATGATATAAAGATTGTTATTGATTAGTTATCTTTATATTATGGAATTTTACGGAAGTTCCAGTATTTATTATAAAATATGATATGATATAAAGATTGTTATTGATAAGTTATCTTTATGTTATAGAATATTACGGAAGTCCCAGTATTTATTATAAAATATGATATGATATAAAGATTATGTTATAGAATATTACGGAAGTTCCAGTATTTATTATAAAGATTGTTATCTTTATGTTATAGAATATTACGGAAGTTCCAGTATTTATTATAAAATATGATATGATATAAAGATTGTTATAGATTAGTTACCTTTATATTATGGAATATTACGAAAGTTCCAGTATTTATTATAAAATATGATATGATATAAAGATTGTTATTGATTAGTTATCTTTGTGTTATAGAATATTACGGAAGTTCCAGTATTTATTATAAAATATGATATGATATAAAGATTGTTATTGATTAGTTATCTTTATATTATAGAAGTTCCAGTATTCATTATAAAATATGATATGATGTAAAGATTGTTATTGATTTGTTATCTTTATGTTATAGAATATTACGGAAGTTCCAGTATTTATTGAATCCACGTCAAGTTTATGATATGATTAAATGTGGACCAACTGAAGGATTACAGTTTTTTAAAGATATACCAAATTGTCGTGTGTTAGTCTGTGGTGGAGATGGTTCTGTTGGTTGGTTATTAGATACTATTGGTATGTATTATATTAATCCATCTAAATATTTATATTTGCTTGGTGGCAGTTATAATACATAATGTAACCAATTTTTTCGTTACATTACTAACTAACTTATGACACTCACTGAAAGTAATTGAGATACTTATTTGATTTTGATACTCAAAACATTGTTTTTCTCTCTTTCAGATAAAATGAATTTTGCTCAAAAACCACCAATAGCTGTTTTACCATTAGGTACTGGCAATGATTTAGCTCGCTGCCTTAGATGGGGAGGAGGTAAGTTGATATTGTCTCTTCTAATGTAAAAGCATGTCTTGTCCAGTGACAGCATAGAGGTACGGAGGGAGCATTTGCCCCCAAATTTACCTCCGCTTTATATTTTCACAAATATAAATAAAAAAAATTTTTTAAACGTCTTTGTCCCAATATATTCGTCAGGATCAATTCAATATTTCGAAAAAAGGTTTGGGAGAAGCCTCTCAGACGCCCCATGAGAGGCTGACAACTATAATGCCACAACAGCGGCTGGTGCCGTCAATTGTCTTGTCTTGTTAAACACATGGAAGGAAGCATGTCAGTTACACATGAACAAATTAGAGTCATCGTTTTCTATATGACTTGCAATTTGAAACAGCTTAAAACTCCTTACACCTATATAAATATACACAGTGAAGAATCTTTTTCTCAAGATCTAATATAAGAATTAATATTTTAAATTTTTCTCAATAGGTTATGAAGGAGAGAATTTAATTAAAATATTAAAGCGTATTGAACATAGTCAGGCTGTGATGATTGATAGATGGAAGATCGAGTTCAGTAAACCTGATGATGCAGAAGATCAAGAGGGTGATCCTATACCATACAATATAATTAATAATTACTTCTCAATTGGAGTGGTAAGTTTATATTTCACTATGTTAGTAATAATTATTTTTCAATGGGAGTGGTAAGTATATATTTCTTATATAATAATTATTTTTCAATTACAGTTGTAAGTATATATTTCATATATAATAATTATTTCTCAATTGGAGTGGTTAGTTTATATTTCATATATAAAAATTACTTCTCAATTGGAGTGGTAAGTATATATTTCATATATAATAATTATTTCTCAATTGGAGTGGTTAGTTTATATTTCATATATAATAATTACTTTTCAATTGGAGTGGTAAGCATATATTTCATATATAATAATTATTTCTCAATTGGAGTGGTAAGCATATATTTCATATATAATAATTATTTCTCAATTGGAGTGGTTAGTTTATATTTCATATATAAAAATTACTTCTCAATTGGAGTGGTAAGTATATATTTCATATATAATAATTATTTCTCAATTGGAGTGGTAAGTATATATTTCATATATAATAATTATTTCTCAATTGCAGCTGTAAGTATATATTTCATATATAATATTTACTTCTAAATTGGAGTGGTAAGTTTATATTTCATATATAATAATTATTTCTCAATTACAGTTGTAAGTATTTATTTCATATATAATACTTACTTCTCAATTGGAGTGGTAAGTTTATATTTCACTATGTTATTAATAATTATTTCTCAATTGGAGTGGTAAGTATATATTTCATATACA